TAAACCATTGATAGGCCCCCTTCTTTTAAAAGACTGCCAAGCTCTGGTCTGGTTACAGTTCTGAGCTCATCCAGCTGGGTTATTGTCTGTAACCCACTGAAAAAGTGACTTGTTCAGTAGAGGGGACCAGGATTTCCGAAACAATTATTCTTATTATAAGACTTGGATGTACTCTACCTCATACTTCAGTAATTTCTAGAACACTTCTGTTCTGATTACAAGATTGTAAGCTCTTTGGAAGCAAAGTGTGTGATTTATATCTTCTCCAAACACTACTGAATTTAGGCCCAGATTGGGTGAGGATTTCTTAGGGTCACATGACTTCTTAATGGCAGGACCAGAAATAATACTCATGATTTCCTCATGCCATGTACCAACGTAGTATTCTGTCCGTTCTACCCCTGTTTCAGTTATCTGCTGCTGCATAACATACCACTCTAAAATCCCATTCCCTAAGACAAACAACACAGGTTCTTCTCATAGGTTTATGGTCAGGCATTTGGTTGGGCTGTTCTGCTTCCTGTGATGTTGACTGAGTCACTCATTAGTTGGCTTCATATGGATTGCACCGAAAGGTCCCAGAAGGTTTCATTTCCATGTCTAGAACCTCGGTGCTTCTCCCATGGCCTCTTCCTCTCCGTATTTTCTCTTTTCTCTTTCAGTAATAGCCTGAACTTCTTTACAACTTAGTAGCTATCTTCCTTTAGCAGAAAGAAGCAGAAGTTGGCAGGCCTCTTACACTAGTCCAGAACTGACAGTGTGACTTTTACTGCATTCTCTGGGTCAAGGCAGGTCACAAGGCCAGCCCAGATTCAAGGGGAGGGAAAATCGATACTACTCCCTCTCAAGGAGGGGAACAGTATATACACTGAGGGAGAGAAGAAATTGGTGGTGGCCATCTTGGAGACTAACCATAACCGTAGTTAACTAGCAGATGCAGCCTTCTCTCCCTAATTCCTAGCGCCCTGACAGAATAGGAAAAACTCAAGCCTATGCAGAAACAAAGGAGAAAAGGGAGAAGAAAAATGCCCTGAAACTCCCCATCCCTTTGCATCTCAAAGCCTGGCCAAAGGGTTGGGAAGGTGACACCTGCTTACCCCACAGCCCCTCTGATCATTCCTTGGCTGAGTTTCTTCTGGTCATTATTTGAGCATCAGAGGAAAGGCTGCTGCTCTTGGCGCTGAATGTAAAGAGCACGATTGGTGCTGGTGTATCCTACGGTGGGCATTTTATGATAATTTGGTTTTAGAGCTACTGCTATGTCTGTTTTCTGTGTCAGTCTTTTAAGTGCATATTTCTAAAGGCGCATTCCCTATGCAGTAGTTAAAAACAATGCTTTTCAGTGCTGCATTGTGTATTGCTAAAATGTAATACACCTACAGGTAACCTTTTCAACTGCTAATTTCCATCTATAAGTCAAATTGTACTTTATCACTAAGAAAAAAAAGCAGATCTCATTAAGTTTCTCCTGCTTTCTTTTTAACAACTCAGAAGATTCTTATGTGAAAGAATAAGCACCTAAAACTGGAAAAATCAATTTTCTAGCCTATTCCACCTCCAGCAACATCCCTCCTTTGTATTCTAATGAACTTGGTTTTAAATTCCTACAGGATGAGGATTACAGGCATACTTTGTTTTACTGCGCTTTGCAGATATTACATTTTGTACAAATTGAAGGTTTGTGGCAATCTTGCATCAAGCATGTCTATCTAATGGCACCATTTTCCAACAGCATTTGCTCTCTTCATGTCTTTGTGTCACATGTTGGTAATTCATGCAATATTTCATTCAGACTCATTCATCATAAATGTATTTTTTGTGATCTGTGGTAAGTGATCTTTGATGTTACTATTGTAAGTGTTTAGGGGTGCCAAAAACTGCACACGTTTGATAGAATGCACTTAATAAATGTGTGTGTTCTGACTGCTCCACTGACTGACCATTTCCCTATCTATCTCCCCCTCTCTGGGCCCCCTGTTCCCTGAGACACAGTATTGAAATTAGGCCAATTCATAACCTTCTACAGTGACATCCATGTGTTCACATGAATGGAGGAGTCACACTCATTTTAAATCACAAGCTAGAAATGATTAAGCTTAGTGAGAGAGGAATGTTGAAAGCTGAGATAGGCCAAAAGCTAGCCCTCCAGTGTCACACAGTTGTGAATGCAGAGGAAAAGTTCTTGAAGGAAAATAGAAGTGTGGCTAGAGTGAATACACAAAAGATAAGTAAGTGAAACAGCCTTATTGCTGATAGTGAGAAAGTCTGAGTGATCTGGATTCTGAGAAGATCAAACTGGCAACCGGCCACAGCATTCTCTTAAGCTGAAGTCTACCAGAGCAAGGTCCTGACTCATTCCAATTCTTTGAAGGCTGGGAGAGGTGAGGAAGCTGCAGAGGAAAACTTTGCCACCAACAGAGGGGGGATTCATGAGATTTAAAGGAAGAAGCCGTCTCCATAACATCAAAGTGCAAGGGGAAGCAGCCAGTGCTGATGTAGAAGCTGTAGCAGGAGATCCAGAAGATCAAGCTAAGATAACTAGTGAAGGCGGCTGCACTAAGGAACAGATTTTCATTGCAGATGAAAACAGCCATCTGTTGGAAGAAGATGCCACCTAGGACTTCCATAGCTACAGAGAAGGAGCCAGTGCCTGACATCAGAGCTTCAAAGAACAGACCGACTCTCATTAGGGGCAAATGCAGCTGTTGACTGGAAGTTGAGGCCAGTGCTCGTTGACCATTCTGAAAATCCTAGGGCCCCTAAGAATCACGATAGATCTGCTCTGACTGCTCTGTACATGAAAAAACAAAGCCTGGAGGACAGCACATTTATAACATGGTTTACTGAATATTTTAAGCCCACTCCTGAGACCTCCTGCTCAGGAAAAAAAGAAAGATTCCTTTCAAAATGTTACTACTCATTGATAATGTGCCTGGTCACCCAAGAGCACTGATGGAAATGTACAAGATTAATGTTGTTCTCTTGGCCGCATCCATTCACAGCATCCATTCTGCAGCCCATGGATCAAGGAGCAATTTTGACTTTTAAGTCTTACTATTTAAGAAATACATTTTGGAAGTCTCCAGCTGCCATTGAGAGTGATTCTTATGGATCTGGGCAAAGTAAATTGAAAACCTTCTGGAAAGAATTCACCATTCTAGGTGCCATTAAAAACATTAATGGAGCATAGGAAGAGGTCAGAATATCAACATTAACAGGAGGTTGGAAAAAGCTGATTCCAACACTCGCAGATGACTCTCAGACATTCAAGAACTTCAGTGGGAAGTCACTGCAGATGTGGTGGAAATTCAAGAGAACTAGAATTGGAAGTGGAGCCTGAAAATGGGACTGGACTGCTGCAATCTCACGATAAAACTAACAGATGATAAGGAGTTGCTTCTTATGGATGAGCAAAGAAAGTGGTTTCTTGAGATGGAATCCTCTGGTGCAGATGCTGTGAAGATTATTGAAATGACAATGAAGGGTTTAGATTATCACATAAACCGAGTTGATAAAGCAGCAGCAGGGTTTGAGAGGATTGACTCCAGTTTTGAAAGAAGTTCTACTGTTTGTAAAATGCTATCAAACAGCATTGCGTGCTACAGAGAAAGTGTTCAGGAAAGGAAGAGTCAATCAATATGGGAGACTTCATTGTTACCTTATTTTAAGAAATTGCTCCAGCCACCCAGCGTTCAGCAACCACCATTCTAATCAGTTAGCAGCCATCAATGTGGAGACAAGAGTCCTTACAGCAAAAAGCTCAGATGATGGTTAACATTTTTAGCAATATTTTTTTAAAGATTCTGTTTTTAAGTAATCTCTACATCCAACATGGGGTTCAAACTTACAGTCCTGAATCAAGAATCACATACTCTACTGACTGAGCCAGCCAGGTGCCCCACATTAAAGTATATACATTGTTTTTTAGACATAATGCTATTGCACACTTAATAGACTACAGTATAGTGTAAACATAGCTTTTTAAAAATTTATGCAAACACAATTTTTATATGCGCCAGGAAACCAAAAAATTCATTTCACTCACTTTGTTGTAATACTCTGTTGGAGTGCTCTGGAACCAAACCCACAATATCTCTAGGGTATACCTATATTCTCTTGCTTTGAGAAAAAGATCTCTTAATCTTCTAAATTTCCTTGACCAATTTTTTTGCATGTATTTTTTTCCTTAAAAAACAAAGACGTCCTTTTTTGTTGTTGTTGTTGTTACAGTTAGATTGTCATTTAGAGAATTATTCAACCCAGAGTATTTTTTCCTAGAAACAATCACATAAGTAAAATTCTCTAGTGTCATACATATCAAAAGAGGAAATGTAAGGCTGTAGGGGCAAAACTTTTCCAAGTGCTTTGGGAAATCTTACTCTTAAGAGATTATCTTGTACCCAGATGTGTAGGGAGTAGGGTCCACTGAAATCGCATTTATTCTCCCAGTTTATCTGGCCCAGTTATTGAAGATACTGTATGGACTCTTTTTGGAACAGGGTTTTATGGGTAAGCATTTACATGTGGCACAAAGCTTGCATTCAATTAGAAAATATCCAGATTTTTTTAAAACTCCACTTTATCCTTTCTCTTATTTTGCTAGGGGTAGCAGTGGGGAGTTTGCTTTTGTTTATTTGCTATTTTCTTTTGTCTTTCTATGACTGAAAAAACACTGTGTGTCTTTAAAATTGTCTAAGTCACTTGGAGATTTTGGGGGATTTTATTTGAATTTTTTAAAATTTCCATGCTGGGGTACCCGGCTGGCTCAGTCGGTTAAGAGTCTGACTCTTGTTTCAGCTCAGATCATGATCTCATGGGTCTTGGGATTGATCTCCACATCGCGCCCCGTGGTCAGTGGAGAGTCTGCATGAAGATTCTCTCCCTCTGCCCCTCCCTCCAACTCAAGTGTGCACACCCTCTCTTTTTCTGTCTCTCTCTCTAAAATAAATAAATCTTTAAAAATAAATAAAATGTCCATATCTTTACCCCTTTCGTTTTAGGAAGAAGAATTAGAAGCCCAAATTTCCTTCCTTCAAGGGCAGTTGAATGACCTGGATGCCATGTGCAAATACTGTGCAAAGGTGATGGACACTCATCTTGGTGAGTGAGCTACTTTGGCCCTGGGAGTAATGATAGTCATAACAACAGTATCCAGTTGGCCCTGTGTTAAACTTTTCACGTGTATCATCTCATTAATCCTCACAGCAGCACTATGGTAGAGGTCCTGTTACTATCCACATTGTACAAATGAGGAAACTGAAGCACAGAAAGATTAGTAAAATTTCTCAAGATTATGTCGCTAGCAAATAGAGATTCAAAATCAAGTAGTTTAACCATAGATTTCAATTCTCAGCTGCTACACTACCTTTTGTAAATAACTGTCTACCTCAAACCAAATGAAATGTTGAGTTTTTAAGGGGCACCTGAGTGGTACAGTTGGTTAAGTGTCCAACTCTTGGTTTCGGCTCAGATCATGATCTCAGGGTCTTGAGATCAAGCCCCACGTTGGGCTCCACGGTCAGCGTGGAGGCTGCTTAAGACTCTCTCCCTCTCTCTTTGCCCCTCCTCCTCCCAAGCTCACGTGCACACTTTCTCTCAAATAAATAAATCTTAAAAAAAAAAAGAAAAAAAAGGAGAACTGTTGAGCTTTTGAGATCAAATAGTTCTACTGTTGTGCCAGCCTGTCTGTAACTACCAATGTGATCAGGATTTTGACAGTGCTTTATATATTTTTTTAATACATGTTTTTAACCACCAACCTGAAATGCATGTCAGGACCACATGACCTTTTCTTACTTTTGACTGCTTATATTCTAAGAAATGTCCTAGTTTGAAGTTTCATTTACATGTGAGTCATACATATGTCACATTAGAAAGTCTTCAGGCATTATTCTCTACATTTGTGAAAGTTCTGTATTTTGTATTAGAAATGGTCTCTGCTGGATCATGTATGTTTTGCTTTAGTGACTGTTCTGCTTGCAGAACTTTAGAATGCAGACTATTAGTGTTTTTCAGCCCTTTTATGGGCATCCTTTCTTTTTCCATTCTTCAGTGTCCAGCATCTGTGGTTTACGAACAGATTAGGAAAAATAAAACATATACTGTAATGGCAAGGGCCAATATGATGCTCTGTGAGTGTGGACAAATGGCAATACCAAGTAGTATAAGAAATCAGGATGCATTCCACTTATGAGGGGAAATCAAAGAATCCACTGAGGCCCCTTCCCCCTGCCGGGGTCCTAGGAGTAGACCATCTGTGGGGCCTTTGCAGAAGGTGGACTCTCTTCCTTGGACTCCACTGATATCTCAGTCTTGAGTCCATTACACGCAGTCAAAACAGCTGTCATTTAAGTGTGGCCTGACCTGTACTGGCCTCTAGCAAGGAGTTCATGTTCTCTTATGGTTGGGGAGGTGGTTGACTTCAGTGGCTAGTTGTCTACCAGTGTCTTACTAAGCAGCTGGCTGGGACCCGTTCTAGCCTCAGCTATTTCTCCTCTCTTGACCACTCCTTCAGAGAAAGAGTTCAAGAGGGGAAGTAACTGGAGAAACCCCAGAAGGTGACCAAAAGTGTAGTATCACATCTTATCACAGTATCTTATCACAGCAAGAACTGTTACCCTTGTCACATCTGATCTGCCCCTGGCACAGCGGTTCATTTATACGCTTCATTATGATCATTTTTTAAAAATTCAGATAAAACTAAGTTTTCAAGAATCTCATAGCATCCTACTTTATCTCTTTTTAAGATTTTATTTATTTGAGAGATTTATTTGAGAGATAGCCAGAGAGACAGCATGAGCAGTGGGGAGAGGGAGAGCAATCTGAGCAGGGAGTGCGATGCAGGGCTCCATCCCAGGACCCTGGGATCACGACCTGAGCCAAAGGCAGATGCTTAAATGACTGAGCCACCCAGGCACCCCTCATAGCATCTCACTTTAAAATGTATCAGAAAGAAGTAATGAAGATAGTTTATATATAAATAATATATATTATATAACTCATTTTTGTTCAATATAATTTTAATTCTAAAGCAAGTGTGTGGGTGGGTGTATATGTGTATGTTTGCTTCTCTGTCTGTGTGGGTGACCTTGTATTGCTTGACTTGGGTTTTGACCAAAGTAGGAGAACAAAGAAGTGACGGAGAGAAAGATTTCCTGGAACTCTAGAAAATCCTGTTAGGAAATTTCTAAGTTGTTTGGTCCACATAGCAGCTTTTAAAGCAGCTTTACTTAAGCCTCAAAATGTTCAAAGAGCTTTTGCTCTGAATTTGGTCTCTCAGTCAGCACTGTAAGAGTATTTTCTCATTGCATGGGAGGGGGAAACACTTTAATTAAAGAAAAGCCCATACCAGATGTGAATTTTCAACTAACCGCAAAACTAAATTTGTTTTTGTGTGTATGTTTCACTTTCAGCCAGAATCCCTTCATATAGCTGTCAACTTCTTTTCTCCATATAAATAGCAGGACTGCCTTTTTAAAGTAGGGTCAAAAGATGCTACAAAGAATTCTGGGCCCTGGGCCCACAGATGGATTTCATTTCACCTGCCTATTACAACATTGGTTTATTAAAGGGTATTCCTGTGTTGTAGGCAATTTTGATTCCAAGCAAAAATTAGAGAAAGACCAAAAAAAGATTAATTAAGGTGAAGCGCTTAATTTACGTTTTGGCTTACTGTATTGCCTTTAAAAATGACTTCAGTACCCTAGTACTTTTTTCCATATGATATTTTCTATTTTTACTGATTATTAAAGCAGTACAACATTCGAACAACTGAAAAACATATTAGTAAGTGACTGATGATAACATAGTGTAATGTAATCTTAATATTAAATATTAATGCAGTTTTTTATTAACTTAAGGAGATGTTCATGCTATATTATTAAGGGAAAAGACAGGTAGCACAAAAGGAGATATTTGATGTGAAAATAATCACTAACAGTGATGGTCGAGATAAAAGGAAGATCATAGGGGGACTCTCCAGGAGGCCCAATTTTTTTTTTTTAAAGATTTTATTTATTTATTTGACAGAGATCGCAAGTAGGCAGAGAGGCAGGCAGAGAGAGAGAGGAAGGGAAGCAGGCTCCCTGCTGAGCAGAGAGCCCGATGCGGGGCTCCATCCCAGGACTCTAGACCATGACCCGAGCCGAAGGCAGAGGCTTAGCCCACTGAGCCACCCAGGCGCCCCGGAGGCCCAATTTTTAATGCCTGGGAAATGCAGCACAGCCACTGAGAGCTGAAGTGCCTGAAGGGCCCTCTTTACACTCCAGGCAAGAGTCAGGTGGAAGTGTATCCCGAGTGGTGTTAGGAAAAGCAGCCTTGTGTGGCAGCAGACGGACACAGCGTGAGAACAGACTCTGTCACTTCTTAGCCCGACCTGCTTAGGATCATGTCTTCATATATATATACACAGTGGAGACCCAGTTATCTACCTTGCCAGTTTGCTGCCAAGATGAATGTGTTTTTAAAGCCCAGCACAGGGCATGGCCCAGAGTTGGGTTTTCAACATAAATTCTCTCCCCTAACTCCTGACCAATACCAAATTCCCCAGCACCTAACTAAATATTCCTTTATCAAACGATTTGGAAAGATGCTAGAATTTAGGATGTGTTGGTCCTAAGATGAGGCGTGTGAACTCTTTGAGCAAGAATAACTATAGCAGAACAGAATGATGTGGCCTCCTTGACTTGAGCGCTGCTGGGCCTCCATCCTGCCCTGGGCCACAGGCTACCACGGTGGCTGTGAGAACTGCCTCAGAAACTTGTTCCAGCAGGTATTTCTTTGTGTCTTCTCCCAATGTTAATTGTTTTCAGTAAGTTCCTTTCATTTCAAGACAATTCCATTTCACCCTTCATTTTCATCAGACATGCAGTAATGCCTTAAAATGTCAAGTACAGTTCAAGGCTCTTTTTATAACTGCCAGAACAAATACAGAGAAAAACCTCTCAGTTAAAAATTATACCAAGGCATTTGTTCAAATGGTCCTTTAATTATAGAGATTAATAACACTGACAGGTTAGCAGTTCTTTCCTTATGGTCCTGGAACCCAAAACTAAAGGAATATTTGTTTTATCGAAACTCGACCAAAATTCTAATTTTATTACTTCCACATAATTGAACTGCTTGAATTCAAAGACTGAGAGACAGGAATTAAAAATACATGTTTTGTTAAACCTAACTTTCCTGTCAACTTCAGAAGACTTGTTTTACATGTTCGTTTTTCTGTTGCTATAGTTACTCCCCTTCCTGTCATCCTGACATTTGAGTTAAAAGCCATTGACAGTATTAACCTCTGCGGCTGAGTGCAGGCTATTTTTAGATTTGCCGTATTTTACACATAATTGCACGTGGGTGAGGAGCCCACGCTTCTCTGATCTGTGAGCAGCTGGTCTGAGCTCCCAGCTGTTTACAGGGAGCACGAGCTGCTCACCCCACCCTCCCTAAAGCCTGCACCTGCCTACTCCCAGGAGAGGTATTTCCAGTCCTTTCTTGGCCATATAGACAGACAGTGGTTTCCAGCAGCTTGTCCTTTCGTGGGTGGTTCCCGGCAACAGCGGGGCAGGGCAACAGTGCAGGGAATCAAGGGCAGTTAGGTTTCCCAAATTGCTGTATCTCCCAGGACTGTAGAATGCTGAACATGTGGTAGCTGTAGAAGCCAGCGCAGCAGTTCACAGTTCCACAGACAAGGAGACCAAGGTCCTGGAAGGAGGAGAGACACACACCTAGCTTGTGACGCACCACACGTCCAGACCCAGTTCCAGTCCCTGGCTTCTCTTTCACTGATGCCTCTGCTGAGGCCCCCCTTGAGTCAGTAGAGGGACCCGATCCTCTGCCGTTTGGTTGCACATGGCACTGCTGGCTTTGCACTTGTCATAATATTTATGTAAGCATTAGCTGGAAGAGGAGGCCAGTTTTGGAAATCAGTTTATTTGCTTCCGTAAGAACTTTATAAATCTGATTTTTCTCATGTTTATGAAAACGACTTTCAATGGACATCTTTGGAAACATTCAATAAGGCAATTAACTTACGGCATTTGAAAAACAGGGAAGGAAAATGTGATCACCAGACAGCTTCCTCTCTGTCAGTCACACTGTGATAAAAA